CTAATCCCCTACCTTTAGCAGTAATATAGTGAGAACTAATCTCTTATAATTATACTTAATAACGTCTTAATTTATATAAATAATATAGTATTAGAGGTTCTCTGTAAGGTAGGCTATTTTACTATATATTTACTACTATATTTACCTAACTATAATCCGATTAAGCTTGTTTTTTTAGTGCTGAAAGTATGAATCCAGAGGAACTACATATATATATATAGCTAGTATAATAGCTTTAGCAATTTCCTTTACACTACTATTAAAAAAAGTTAGTGTAATTAATTTACATCTTAACACTTTAAGTACGCAGCTAAAGGACTATATATTAAACAGAAGAAACTTAAGCGTGTATATAAGAAATTAAGGCTGTACAAAAGATAGTAGTTATATATAAGATATAGTTTAAACTAGTTGCTATCTAATATATAGTTATGAATTTAGAAGCCCTGTAAGTATGTGTATAGTAGCTTCTTCTTTTATAATCTCAGCACAATATATCTATTTAAATTCTCTAATATGCAATTAAAAGTCTCGTATAATTCTATTAGTAAGCTTCCTATTAATTGCTATTTTATATATCTTACTAGAAGGATCTGATATTTTACGTAGGTACTTAAGCTTCTAACACTCCTGCTAGGCTATCTCATGCGTGTGGCTATAAGCAGCTTTGACGTACACATTCGGCGCCGTAGAGATAGCCTAGATGAAGTATTTATTAACTATTGAGTAGTCATCTCTCTCACCAGCAACAGGGCTAGAGTTGAGGATAGGAACCTAAGCCTGTACGGGTGTTTGAGCAGGCATTTGAGCAGGCGTTTGAGGGCGATAAGCAGATGCAGTAGGGCCTGAGGTAGAAATGCCTACCTACACCTGCTGAGTAGTATCAACAGTTATATTAGCAATAGCCTGATTCATCTACATCTCACTAAATTGCTCTAGAACTTGAAGGGCCTTATCCATCTCAGTAAGACTCTCTTGCTGCTGCTGCTCTTGGCTACCATGATTAACCTTCCTCTTATAAGAACCCTGACTCTTCTCCCACAGCTCAATAAGCGTACGCGGGGGTTGACTTAGTGAAACCTTCGAGTCAACTCTGCACCGATTCACCCAGGATTCGAAGTTTATAATCTCGATTTTATAGTGGAGCTGATTGCGAGGATGGACCTAATAGTGGCTAGTTTTAAAGTTCGTACAGCCAGGATCCACGCAGGGCCATATTTGACAGATGGGTGGCTGTAGCTTACTATCTGACTTCATCTCTTCAATGCGCCTGCGCGCTCGCTCGTCGCGTAGGAGGTCGTTGGTATGAGTCCTCTGGCTGCTAGTTGGCTCGCCCTCAGCTCCGTTAGATGAGATTTCCTGCAGGAGAGACCTCTTCGCGAAAGCCTTAAGTGGAACCTCAGCCTGAATTTTAATACTATATCGAATAGTGACGTACGAAGCAGCCTTCCTGAAGCTACTATGGTAGTCGTTGATGATGTAATAGAACTTGGCCATCTCACTCTTACTGAAGTCCTCAAGGTTATAGTACTCCTGCTTCGCTCGCTGTAAGGGGGCCTGGTAAATAGCCTCACGAGAGGTAACATTAAAGGGCCTATCTAGTAGCTTTTCCTTCATCGTACGAGTTGCCATATACTCTTCAAAGAACTCCTCTACCTCGTATCCCTAAACAATTGATTGATTAATGCCCGCCATCGGTTTTCCGTACTCGCGCTTCCCGTTTATATATATTTGAATTGACTGCTGCAATTCGTAGGCAACGGCTGCAGGCGGCGAACTTGGTAGGGCTGGAGAAGACTCGTGGCGCGTGGGTGGTGATTGATGAGGTGTTTGAGGGCCTAGCAACTCGGTGCTGCCAGCTGGCGTCAAATTCGAATTATGACCAGGAAGCTCCTGCTCAGCTTCCTGCTCAACTTCCTGCTCTTCTTCGCGCGTTGGCACAAATCTTACCCGCAGGCAATTCGCTGGCCCACCAGGCTTCTTAGTTCCACCAGCCCTTGACGCGACAATCTTCTTTGTAGAAGGCGCCTTTAAGGCTTTACTCTGTAATCGACTGGCTCTCTGACCTCGCGCCTGGCGCGTCGGGTTCTTTTTAGCAGGTGCATCGCTCCCTGCAGTCGAATTCTTCCGTTTGGCCATACTGCCTGTACGCGACGGGGAAACGGGCGCACTATTACTCCAAAAAGTTGATTAGTAAGTGCATCTCCTTATAAGAAAATAGCTTCAATTGCTAAACTTACATATAAGCGTTGATGGGGGCTGTAATTGCTTCACGAATTAAAATGCCTTTTCTATGAGGATTTTGGTGTGGCAAACATTTTGAGGTGTAAGCGCCAAGCAATTGCGGCGAATTTTGCGTACGCTAAATACAGTTCCGCGCAAAACTGTCCGTGCTTTTCGCGTTACCATCCCACTTTGCGTCTCTCGACGCGAGCAACCCTCACACTTTAACTCACCATCACACAATGCCACGCACTCCTCTTACTCTAATCTCTTCAAATACGCTTAAGCGGAAGGAGCTCACCGTATATAAGCGAGGAATTATTATGGGGAAGCACTTAGAAGGAGCTACTCTGCCCCTAATTTCAAGAAGCCTTTCTGTTCCACCGCAGACTGTCCGCGACACCATCCTCAAAGCGGTCTCCCGCCCTAATGGGGAGTCTGCACTGCGATCTAGCCAGCCCAAATACTACAAAGAAAGGGATGAGAGAAAGATTGTGCGCTTTGCGCGCCTTAGCCCTTTCCTTAAGTACTCAGATCTCCAGAAAGACTCTGGCCTCACTTTTTAAGGGATACACTTCGCCGGATCCTTAAAAGTATGGGATCACCAATTGGATCGTAAAAAAGCGCCTAATGCTTACAGCAGAGCATGCAAAGAAGAGGCTTGCATGGGCGCTTACCCATGCAGACTACACAGATGAACAATAGGAGAGAGTGGTGTGGTCTGATGAGTGCTCTGTGGAGTGGGGCAGCGGAAAAGAAAGACTCTGTGTCTTTAGGACTCCTCTAGAGAAATGGGACAAGGACCATATCTAAGTATATAAGAAAGGGAAGGGCTTGAGGGTAATGGTGTGGGGAGCTATTTGGGGAGGGGAAAGATCCTGTCTTATTATTATAGATAAGGGCCTTTGAGAGCAAGAAGCATGGGTACACCTCTACCTCCTATATTAAGGTGCTAAGAGAGGCCCTCCCAGAATTCTGGGACCCTCCTATGGATTTTATGCAGGATAATACTCCTATTCACAATACCTATGTGACTAGAGACTGGATGGGGGAGCATAAGGTTAATATTATACTTAATTAGCCTCCCTACTCTCCAGATCTTAATCCCATTAAGTATCTATAGTGGTACCTGAAAAAGTTGGTGTATAAGGTCCGCCTAGACATTAAGAGCCTTACAGGTAGTAAAGAGGTAGTAAGAAAGGCCCGAGAAGAAGCTCTAGTTGAAGCATGGGAGAGAATTGATGAGAGGATCATACGTAATATAGTTGGGAGTATGAGAGATAGAGTGAAGGCTGTAATTGAGGTAAAGGGATGGCATACTAGATATTAGGCATCTACAACAGTATAAACTAGTCTGTGTATAGATTTTGCATGTATTTATCTAGCCTTAACTTTTCTACAACTTTGGGAATGTCTAGGTAGCTACCTATACAATTTAATAGGGTGGGTTACTCCGCACTGACCCCACGCACGGAGACTTTTGCGTAAGTACTGTAGGTCTCTATCCAGGATACTATTATAATTTATATAGCATACAAGTACCCATTTCATGGAGGTCATATTTGGCAGTTGGAAGTACTCATAAAGATTGTCATTAAGATTGGATTGATTTATTGAAAACTAAGGATGGCTATCCTACTTAAATAATGAGCGAGATCACCTGGAATGGGGATTCCTAACCTCTTGATGTTGACAAGGGAGGATTTGCAATCTCCTGGTGGAATGAAAACAATAATGGAATGAAAACCCTTGCTCGGTTACACATAACAATGCAAGGTAGCAAGGTTGCCAATCGCGGATTGCGCCAACACCATTCTAGCTGCTTCTGTACGGTATTTATAATCTAAGAGGATTACTATTCAGCTGACGAAGCCGTAATACGAAGAGTTATACTGTATTTGGCCTACAGCCACGCCAACGCGAGCAGGGAGCGCACCTGGCCCGCTCAGGTTACCCCCTTGTAGTCCGCCTTCTAGATAATATCGCGCCGTCCGGCTCGTACACTAACGCACTCGCCCACCAGGGGCGCCATAAGCCGCAGTGGTATTGTTCGGTGCAGTGGCCACTCTTGGACGTGGCTTTCCGTCACCAGTCTCACATCGAGCCTAAGCTGTCACCGAGTAGCGCTCTTTGTCTTCAAGTAGTGCTCTCGCCATCTCTCACCTCTGACCCTAATGGCGTCAGCAGATTGCGTACTCTTCTACGTACGCTCTTACGTACAATCCACCTCGATTGTGTATATAGATCGAGTCTTCCACTCATTTAATTAATTATGGGTTGCTTACATTTTTTGATTCCCTGCACTCGGTTACATAAGCAGATGTATGTACAGAGGGGGGCAGGAAGTCAATAGCCACTTAGTGATCCGAGCTCTGGGCCGTGCACATTGCCTGTTTTGGAAGATGCATTAGTCCATCAATTTTGAAGATTTCTTGAAGCAATTCAAGTATATGATAGAAGCTATATAGGTCGATTTTCTGGAGTAGCTTTGCCCTCAGTAATGCGTCGAACCCCCTTTGTTTTTGATCACCTCCTTCATCCGGCGCCGCCAGCTCGTGATGCAAGCTCTATAGTCTGCAGGGGTTATTTTATGTCACCGAGTAGCGCTCTTGTCATCAAGTAGTGCTCTCGCCATCTCTCATCTTTAGCCTTCATGGCGTCAGCAGATTGCGTACCCTCCTACGTACGCTCTTACGTACAATCCACCTCGATTGTGTATATAGATCGAGTCTTCCACTCATTTAATTAATTAGGGGTTGCTACATTGATTCCCTGCACTCGGTTACATTTTATCCTATTCTTCTTGTAGAATCTGGACCATCTCCTCTCTAGTATGAATCCAGTGGCGGCGCTTACTGATGCGGATTTTTATAATACGCCAAAGATTCTCAATTGGATTTAAATCTGGGCTTTGTGCGGGCCAATCCATCAGCAAAATCCCTAGCTCTTATATCATTTTTGAAGTCGCTTTTGATGTGTGATACCTCGCGCCATCCTGTTAAAACATTGCAGTTCCTTTTGCCTCTGTCAATCTCTCATAGAAAGGATATGCGTGTTTATTAATAATCTTGATATACTCTTTAGAGTTCATCTTTTAGCCCTTTAGAAGGATAACAAAGGGTTCCTTTAAAATCTAGAGATATCATTCCGAAAACACCAATACTCTCCCTCCCAGATTTGAATGTTGGCTTCAGATATCGGCTCTCGTATGCATGGCCTGGCTTTCTTCGTATATAGAAAGGTGTGGTATCCAATCCAATCTCAAATGTTGCTTTGTTGCAAAAGGATATACAGGCTACGTCCTCATCCTCCCAATATTGATGGATTTTGGCAAACCGGAGGCGATTGGTCTTGTGGGTTGGTTTCAGCCAAGGTTTCTTCTAAGGCTTAAATGCATAGATCTCATGTTTTGCAAGATATTTCCTTGTTGTCTTAACACTCATTTTATAACCGGATTTGGAAGGCGTCGACAAGGATTGAATGGATTCAAAGGGGTGCTGGCCCACATATCGAATCAGCGCTCGCTCAGCTCGCTCATCTAGCGTAGGGGGCCTTCCTGTACGAAGAGCTTTCTGGTAGACTGGCAAGGGCTGTTTTCTCAAGCGTCGAATGACGGATGTAACCGTGGATTTTGGAATGCCAAGATGTATACTGATTTTGCCAGCGGATATATGATACAGATGAAATTGCCAGATGCAATTAACTTGAGGCTCTGAAAGCTCTTTTCTCGAGGTTTTATTTGCACTTGGCATGGCGTTGATAGGATGAGAACTGAGGGAGATACATTGAGTTGAAATCGTAGATGTGTGCCGAGGTTACATAAGCTCAGTTAGGTGGCCAATCACTTCCTTCCCCCCTCTGTACTTTCCACATACCGACACCAGCTGCTGGCCTTCAGATCGCATACCTTCCCTATCAAAGAATGTCCACCTCGAACCGGCGACCGGTACTCCGAATCCCGACTTGTTGACTTTGCCGTGAATCTCGTCCCGCAAACCATCCCCCCACGACTCTCTTTCGGAATGGCTGAGTCAGCCTGACAATCTCCGCACGGTCAACCAATCGCTTTACACTCCGCCCTGCCTGTATCCCACCATGATATCCGTTGAGGCCAAGGTCAATAGGACTTAGGAAGAGGCTCGGGAGCAAATTGGCATTTGGCTCAGCGCGTGGCATGAGCGGGTTGGTCACCTTGCCACAGGTGGCGAGGGAGTATGAAGACCCTCAGAAATGCGATGGATAGCAGCGTGCACACGGAACACTGCGCTGGTCGCTTCAACCTGAGGCAGCCCTCAACGACTTCAAGGCAACATAGCGGCCCAGCTCTAGATGTTGTGGCACGTGAGCAGCCTCATCCTATTGTAGCTAGCTCCCTTCCTGGGGTATGTATAGTCTATTCCTCTACCTTGTATCAGGCAAGAGCTCCTAATACTCAATTCTATCGAGCTCCCACCAATTGACTCACTCTCTGATCTGCATATCGACATGTTGCGCCGCATCGTCGCTATGAGTGATGCGTTCTTCCTAATAATGGGCCCCTTCCACCTTGTTTCGTATAGCCTTGGTACTACCGTATATTTCCCTCCCATTGAGGGCCAGTTCCACTGCTTCGGTGCCACCTCATCCTCTGTAATCTCACCAAACGACTTTTGAACATGACTAATCAAACGTGGCGTTATATCGAGTATTGTTCTAAGTTATTCGATGATAAAGTATCAACTGGCAGAGGGTCCGCTCAGTGAGCAAGTTTGGAGGGAAAAATGTTTTCTTACACGCTTGAAATCGTTTGCTCCAACACCAATGTTCAGCTGACCTACAATCTCGACAGTTTCTCCTCTACATTAGCAAATCCCCTCAAGACCTCTCTGCATATTATGTCTTTGTGGTCGGAGAAGAGTATCTCGAAGGGTCCGAATTCGAACCCTCCCTGCACATTGAGATATGATGGGCGATAAGTCCACATGACTCCAAGTCGACCGCCTAGGCGGATGTCTTCGACCCTCGCAATATCTAGCAGATCACTGCATTCCGTCTCATCTTCGTCCCGATCGCACGCGATAATGACGTAGTCACCAGGTCCGACTTCCCGTCTATCATCTACCGGTCGTTAGCACAAGGGATAAGGTTGATGGGCCGAATGGAAACCCATACATGTTACAGGAACATGGACTCCGCGCTTCTTCCGATCGCTCGTCGAACGGTCACTCTGCCGCTTCGTGATTTGTCTACCATCGCATAGTCGTGCTCGGCTGTACCGTCGTGTGCATCCGCTACCGCTACGTAGCCGGGTATTCGTGAGCAGATGCTGCGCCTGCGCGTCGTCTGCCACCATGAACTCGTCTATGTCGGAGGTCCCTCGCAAGAGATCGCCCTTTTCCTCGGCCAAAGTCATTGAGTCATCCGGTATGGTGGCGTCAGTTGGCTAGACTGGCGAGCGAGGAGACATAGCTGCTGTGGAGAGTTGTGGATCGCTCTGGTTATTATCTGGATCTTTAAGAGGGAGCCGAGCATATTCCCAAACCCCAGCATTGTTCATAAGATGTCCCTCTCCAGCATGGTTCAGCACAGTACCTTGAGCATGGTGGTCCGAACGCAGCATTTCGTCATCGCTGGCGGTGACACGATCAGAATTCTTCTCTCCGTCTGCGCAGATATCAAGACCCAGCTCTTCCCAAAGCATGTTGGCTCCATTGAGTAATATGCCGTCCTTTGTGTCTCTCGCAGCATCACCTATGTTTTCTATTAGATATGGCAGACCATTAGCCGTCGGCTTTCGATACGCACTTTAGGTCATAGCTGCAACTGGAAATTTCCGCTCGGGTGCGTCACCAACGCCCGTAAGATCCACCACCTCAATATCGCGAAGATCCGGCGCCCGCACCGGAGGGAGAATTGCTTAGTCGACCGGTATTTCACTGGACAGGGGCGACAGCGGCGTGCTAACAGAGGAACGTTCACCATTAGTCCAGGTGGTCTCCAGGGTGATGCTGCAACGTGAAGAAGACCCGCTAGATTCTGTCACTATGTCGATAACGGCCGCTGGGCTTGAATCAAGATCATTGGGTTTGAAATGAATAAACTTGCGGTCTAAAGGGTTTTCAGAACGACTTTTCGGGCTGATCTGCGAGGGGTTGATAGTTTGGTGGTCCCACTTCCAGCTTGCTTCGAACTCGCGACCGTCTGTTAGCGGCACCTGGGATTTCAGCTTCATCATCCACCATCCTCACCGTCATGATTGCTCCATACCGGTGGGCCTCCCCCAATCAAGATATCACCCACTCCGTCGCTGAAGCACCCAGGACACAGGAAGTGCTGATCGAATGTCCCATTTTTGACATGGATCCTTTGGTAATGCTTCGTGAGCTCGCTCCGGCCGCGAAAGAAGCCACAGCCGAGAAGGCACCGAGGAAGCATTCAAACTCAATTGAAGCATTGGGATCTTTGAATGGGTATAGTTTTAGCCCATCACGCTTTGCCAGCGGTCGATCCTCGAGGTGACAGTTCGGGGATACGTTTATAGACTCTCCTTTCACCCAGCGGCAATAGTCTGAGGACAGACACACATTCATCTGTGCGTCTTGGCCGATATGGCGGCTAGTGCCTCACTCTGTGAATAGATAGTCTCTCCCATATAACGGGGGAATGGGCATCATAATCACGGCGCGTAGAAAGAGACGCTATGGTCCGTTGTATAATGATAGCAAATACGCTACATTTTATCACGTGGCCTGGAAAAGCGAGGAAGTAGAGTGCCCGTGCCCACATGAGGCGGGCTGGATTCTGCGGAGCAAGCCCACGTTATTATTGTTTTCGAAATTCTCTGTACCCCCTGCCGAGGATCGGGAGTAGAGCTTCCGGTTTCAGAGTTAGTCGGCCCCGAGTAAACAAGGCCGGTACAATCGATCTCTGGAGGTTGTAAAGCACCTTCTCTCATCAATCTCATCATGGAGAGCTTCCCGGACCTGCGCCCTAGTGGTCACCGATTGCAGGCAGAGCTTCTGGAGCCGGTGCTCTGTCGAATTCGGGCTGGGCAAAACACCTCCAAAATCCATCGTGAGACGAGCGTCAATCGGCAAACAATTGGGCGGATTCGATGCAGCCTTGAAGCGTATGGGCAGCCCTATCCTCCAAGGACTGTACAGCGAGGCAGGCCTCCTCAACTTCGGCAGGTCCATCTTGATGCGATTGCTGAGTTGCTCGGAGGCAGGCCGACGACCTATCTCGATGAGATTTGGCATTTTTTGTACGAGTTCGATCTGCGCGTCCACGTATCAACAATCTATCGGGTGATTGAGAAACTTCAGTGGAGCAATAAGATTACAACGAGGAAGACGAGAGAGCGTAGTGAGGCTCTCCGCTCAGTATTTCGAGCAAGGCTTCAAACCTGGGACATAGAGCAGATCGTATGCCTCGACGAATCGGCTGCCAACGAGCATACATGCGATAGGAAGTATAGATAGGCACGTCTGGGGCAACCGTGTGAGGCAGATTACTCAGCAAAACGATCCGAGAGATGGAGTATATTGCCTGCGCTCGACGTTGGTGGTTACCTTGATCATCTCATATTTCAAGGATCTATTACTTCAGAGCTGTTTGGGGGGTTCCTGGGGTCTCGAGTACTGCCGCGCTGCAATCCTTACCCCGGGCCAAGGTCGATTGTAGTCATGGATAACGCTCCTATCCATCGTACTCAGCGTGTGAGAGAGCTCTGCAGGAAGGCTGGAGTACTGTTAGAGTTCCTGCCGCCATACTCGCCAGATTACAATCCGATTGAGCAGACCTTCCGAAAGTTGAAGGCATGGATCCGGAGGCATTACCGTGAGGCGGAGGTGTTTCAGGACTTTGCGTACTTCCTGGATTACGGTGTACAGAGTACTTGCTACGAGGCAGCAGATAGGCTCTTTAGGCGTTGTGGGTATGTGGTGGATATTACTGTATGAAATAGTATAGTACTGAATGATACAGTATCAAATTTTCGAGATTTTTCGAAGTATTGAGATGTTGAATCTCGGTGATGCTCGCCCCAGAGGTTGAACTTTGTCAGGGCGCCCAACCCTCACAACTCTAGAACTCCACCACAACTCCATAAATAAAAGTCGTAGTAAATTCAGAAATACTATTTCGAGGTCAATGAAACTCATCGCAGCGATAAAACATAAAAAAAAGATGGTGGTGGTGGGTAGATTTAGCGTCCTACAGTGTGGAGAAAAATGCTCACGTTGACATGGCCAACACCACCCCATTGAACTCTACTCAGTCCCGCCATCGGATGGCCTCCCCTCCTGCCGCAACCGATCCTGTTCTCGATCCCAAGCTCTTACTAAGGCCCAATTTTCTTCTGTAACGCCTTGATAACTGAGTCTC